GGCTGTACATTCGCCAGCTCCAGGACTTAGGGACTACTCCAGTCTCAAATGAAGGCGGAACAGACGTGTCAGAACAGGAGACAACTCGGGTGCATAAGCCTTCAGAACTAACACCGGTATACCGTCTGAGCCACTAGCTTTGTTCACGTCTGGACTCCTAAAGGCTTCTAAGGCCTCGCGGTTTTTATACGAACCTCTATCATGAGGGAGTGATGGTGGTGAACTGCTCCCAGGGTCCAGACGTAAATTGTGGGCAAATAGAGAGGCAAATAAATCGGACTTTTCTTGGCTCACATGTGCCACAGATCCAACCGGTTTGACCAACGGAGGCAGCGACAGAAATCTTTGACCACTTTGGCAAGAGACCAAAAAGGCCCTGCGATGTTACCCAACAACACATTCAGAGTTACAGTGCCACAGGGGGCTTGATCTGGAGACTGCAGGGACGCCCGAACCTATCCAGGGATTGCCATCGGGTCCCTTCACCCGGACAACAACCGGCACGATGGAGCGCGATTGGCCTGCACTCTACTTGGGCCCCCAACTAACTGCGGGCGGCCAGTGGAGCACCCTTCTTCACAAGGCAGCTGTTCAGAGCCATGCCCCATACGGCTTCACCAGACATCGTACTAAAACACGACGAATTGCTTGGCAGCATGGCTTTGTGCCAAGTGTAGGGTATCATGCTTTAAGTACACTCTTACGGACGCGAGCAGCTTCGTCCCTGTGCTGTCGCTGTATTTGGAACACTTTCGACCATTTATTTTATAAGCGTATAACATATCTATAGTATGAAATATCATCGATTTGCACCACTTTCATATTTTTCTAACCTAAGGCCAAGATTATATGTAAGCTATACGCTTTCTCCTTTCTTGCATTTTAATAAAACAACATTTCTTTTGAAACACGTATTTATTATTCACAAAAAGATCAAAGGAACTTGTACGCGACTCGACTTGCACCAGTATCGTCGTACTCCTCTCTCGACATCCAAAATCCATTAAAAAAACTCAACGACGCCAAAATGGACCCTCCTGCCCACGCAGCTAAGTTCCTTGAAGGCATTGCATCAACATAGGAAGTTATACCGGGCAAATCTTTAACTTGTTTACGTAACTCTAGTGACAACCGCTCTGACAACCCATGAAATAAACTGGTACCACCAGATAATACAATATTTTTATAAAATAGTGCCCTGTAATCCATATCGCACTTTTTAATACTCTGGAAAATATCCTCAACAATACTAGGGCATTGCAAACCGAACGTGGTAGGCTGGAAAAGAATTTCAGGACATTTAAACCTTTCTTCACCGAGCAGGACATGTTGGCCATCTGGCAATTCAAATTTAATTGTGTTTTCTCCAGATGTGTCAAAAGATTTTATTTCTTGTTCATAGTCTCTGGCGACATAGCAGAATTGTGCCTGATAAAAAAATAAAAGCATGTAGGATGTCTAAAATAAATCGAAATCGGATTATTACATATAAAATAGAGTAATATATAAAATGATATTAATAGATTTATAGTTCGACTCCAGCCATTTCCACCGCATGGTTAATACTTGTGATCTGGTAAAAGATATCAAAAATATTTCCTCAACATTTTTTTTATGTGAAAAGTTACGAACTCCGAACGCGCCTGCCCATTCAGGCAAGAGCTGAAGCCGCTGAATGGCCCTAACACTTAAACCTCACTCATACGTAACTCCTTTAGTTTTGCGAATGTCGATTTACTAACGGTTGAGACAATTGTTAGTTTGCAACGTTTGTTACATAAAAATCAATAGCTCCGTGTAGATAAAAAAAAATGTGTGTACTTATGTACGCACGTAAGACATTATACTTTTTTAGTGTATAAAGACATTAATTGCAATTGATAACGGTTATCTGAATAACTTGGAATTATTGGTAAATGTCAAAAAGGCGTTTTAGTTCCTATGGTAATGCCATGAAGTTGATTGCTTCGCAACTTCATCATGTCGATTTTTGAGGGTCGGTGTGCGCGCTTAAAATTTCACCCCTAATATATTTTTGTAATAACTTCAAAAAACTACTTAAAGTCCAAGGTTTTCAACATGAAATAAACTATTACCTTCATACACTCCAAAAGCTTTCGTTCTGCCGGTGTGGTGAAGGAATATCCGACGCTGGCCATCAAATCACGAAGCTGATCTGTTAACGCGTTACCGTTTACTTGAGATATTGTTGTAGCGTTTTTCAAAAGAAAACCTTCAAACACTGAAGCTACATAGGAACAGGAATAACCGTTCTCCCAAACAACACCAGAGGTTCTTCCGCTAGCATGTAAAACTAGGGCTGGCGAAGTTCCCAAATATATGTTTTGTACCATAAACGACTCGAACATAATTTCCGTTATTTTCTCCCTGGTAAATAATAAAAGCCATACGACCTTTCAAACTTTAATTATAAGTTTCAATGTAAATCAGACACTATATTATATAGTATTATTGCACATTGTAGTCAGAACTGTGTTAGAAAGGCCCCTGTCATCATAAATACTAACAATTTAGAGTCTCGTCATATTTTAAATCATGATATTGATATTTCATTACTTGACTTTTATCTCTTAAAATTTATGCCAACGGGGAAAAATCTTTCATTTGGGACTCATTGTAACATTGTACTTCGTCAAATGGCTTTACAAATTTAATTTTAGTTGCCAAAAGGATAGCTAAACTCTTTGAATTGATAATTCTTATCATTAATAAGTTTATTCTGGTTAATTCACAGAATTTAACCGTCCTTTTGGCAACTAAAATGAAATTTAAAAAGGCATTTGACAGCTCATTAGTTGATATCTACGATGATCAGTGTTTCAGAAACCGGGCGTTAGTGTACATGATTATTTAGTTTTGCCACAACCTATAGAGATTTTAGGCTAGTGAAGATGTCACACCTTAAGTTTTTTTAAAAGATTATATACTGGTTTTCTTGTTGCAAACGATGCAGGAAATGGACAAGTTACCGTTTTTAACCAGCGACAAAAAGCTGTTAGAGTTCCTGTCATCATGCCGCAATATTTGTTAGGTGACAATTTCGTTATTATTTGTCATTATTGTAGATAATCATAAAGCAATAGCCGACTATTAAGACTTCAAAAACATACTTATCCTTTTTCGAGGTCAATGGATGTATGACATACATAACGTTTGCTTTTTCTGGAGGTACATGAAGTCCTGTGTAAAATATATAGTGCAAAAGTTTCTCTACATCGTCCCATTCTCTGACAATACCATTGTATATAGGCCAGTTTAAGTTTGTCACCCCTCGCAATTTTATAGCGTCGTTTCCAAAAACCAAATCGGGAAAACCATCCGACAAACCACTCCGACGACACCTGAATAAAAGTAAATGTCTTTTAAACACATTTGGCAAAAATATCATTTAAGAGTTTCACGAGACCACTACACCCCTCCGCATTGGGAAACGCCACATGCACCATTGGTTATGGTGACATACGCCTTCACCATCTACTGCCTTCATCTTTACAATACTTCCACCGTCACCTTAGTCTAACTTATAAGAGAGAGCTCCCAATCCATAAGTAGGAGGGCGCCGCTTACCTCACTCAACAAATGCAAAAGCTTTCCACAGTAAAGGTAAATGAATCGAAAAACGAATATTCAATTTTTGTAACTAAAAGTAGTATTCTTACCGACCAATCGTTGTGGGAATAACACATCGAGGCAATGGTTCGCCGGCAAAACCTGCCTTTGTGTTTTGTGTACCAAGATCAAACACCACGCTAGTATGGTCACCTAGATTAGCCATTTTATGTATTTCCATGAATGTATTTACTGTAAGAATACATGACCCAATAGATTTTTAAAGGAAAATCATTAACGCAAACTTTTAGTTTTAATACTAATATAGCAATATTTATTTTTCATATTTGTAATTGCAAAATTCATTAGTTTTTATAATAGAACATAAAAAATAACGAATTTAACAAAAATTATTATAAATTACAAACATATTTTATTTGTTTTAAAAACGAAAGAATATAACTTTTAAACTAACTTTTAAATAATTAATGTTTTTTTAACTCACATTGAATCATCCATAGTAAATCTTCATGAAACCAAAATTGTTTCTATTGAATTTTAAACTTAGCACAAAGTGAACATACCCATACAACGTGAGCCATTCAGGTTGAGAGGGAGTTTTTCAAAATAACTCTCTTGGTCACAGGAAGACGGAGGTGGGACATAGGTTCGTCCAGTATACCCTAAATGAAATATCGCGCCAGTTAACTTTTTCCTTTTTTTTTAGTTATACAAACATACATAAAATGATTGAAATATGTAATTATATATTTGCCGTCCACTGCACTGAACGTAAGCCAACTTGCACCAACTATCCCGGTCCTGGGCAGCCCGCATCCATCCGCTGCCCGCTACGTTAAGTCGTCAGTCCATCGTGCTGTAGGCCGTTCCACACTACGTTCTCCTAACCGTGGTGTCCACTCTAACACGTGTCGGCTCCAGATAGCCTTGGGATAGTTGATGTCTTTTTCGGAAGTAGTACAAGTGACCAGCATCTAGTGCTATCATTTCCTCGCCCTGGATTTCCGATAAACCCATTATGTGCCAGTTAATATGACTTAGCTCTACTTCCAGGTCGGTCAGGTGTTCGTTCAACCGCAGAGAGCGTCCGTTAAAAATAGCCAGGTAGAATCGCTTATGGTACCCTGCCTTAGCCCGGGGATTCTTAGCATCCCCTGTCGCACCGTTACCATGACCGGTACCGTGGCCTGGAATATTGCAACAACCGGGAACTGGGGGCCTCAAATCTGAGTTGGTTTTCATTGGGGAAAAATCTGCCTAGTCACCACGATTGGCAGGCGGATTGGTGACCGCAGTTGCTGGAATCTTTCTCTGACGGCACTGCTGCTCGCAATCGGGATTGATATTTATGGATTCCAGCATTAATATACGGGTTTACCGCCATGAATCGGCCAGAGCCTCGTCCGTACATTAGCAGGATGTACCACGTGCAGGTGAGGTTGATGGTAGGGGCCTTAGATGTAAGCTCCTCACGTTTCGTGTACATTTTCTAAATGGAATTATAATTGTTAAACTAATAAACCGAAACCTGCCCTAAAGTTCAATATCTCTTTACCAAAACGGTTTAACGGTGGTAGGGCCACGCAGCAACAGTACAACAGCCTCGGCTGTTGCACGAATGGGCAGGCTCGTCCGGGTAAGTACCGCGACCTCACAGAAGACCGGCGTAAAGTGGAGGTATAATACTTTCGCGTTTCGTCCGGTGAGTGAGGTAGCCGGAGCCCAATTTTCAAAAGGTTGTCAACGCATCTGCAAACCCTCGGGTGTAGCAGATGCCCCTGGGCGGTAGTATTTACTTAACATCAGGTAAACCACAGGCTCGCTTTGCATTTTCAAATTAAAAAAAAGGTTAATGAATAATATGTAGTATATAGTATAGTAATAGGCCACGCAGCAGCTGTTAACTGTTTCATGCAACGAATAGTCGCGTTTCGTCTGGTGTATTAATGTGCGAATGAAGAAAAAAGTGATGTTCTATAGGTAAGAAATAACTACATCCTTATCTACGTCATTTATTGTAAATTTTAATATGCAACAACTTGAACCACATTGATATCTGGTTCAAAATCAATTGTTATTAATGATGTACGTGGT